CGCAGTCTAGACATCTTCCTTGTGTAAAGACACTTAAAATAGAGAAATGGGTTTGTGCAGCTTCGGAGCTCCAGGCTTTCCAGTTGTTGTCAGTAATAATCTAGTTTTTTAAAGATTTATTTTATTTATTTATGCATACAAGAGCTGGGGTGTAAGCCAGCGGCGTGGAGGGAGAGAGGATCCACCAGAGACAGAGTGGGGAGCAGAACAGATGCATCTACGAAATATACTATGGAGGGGAGCAGAGGGCGAGACAGGAGAAGTGTGCTGCGCCTGTGGGTATCTCCCTGGTGGGGATCAAAATCTGGCTTCTGATAGCTTCATAGTGCTGAGACTTTAGCCTTTGCACCACCAGGGAGGCCCCAATAAACCTATTTTTTCCACCTTAGTAGCATCACTCCTTTCCTTTCCTTCTATCAAGAACACCAGCACTAAATCTGAATACTAATGATGATTCTTTGTTCTGTTGAGAATTCGGGACCTTTCAAGCACTGGTCACCTTTGCTTTTCTGACCTGTCATCCCACTGTGCACTCTTCCTTCTCAGTTCCCCTCACCTGTAGTCTGTGCAAGAATTGGATCTTACTGACCTAATTCTCTACACTCACATGTTTTCAGTTCTAGCCTTTCTATGCTTGCTTCATCCATCATTAGGAGCTACACAAGGCTGACTATTTCCTAGCCTACCTAGTTCTGGTCATGGTCTGGTCATCTCTAACGAAACAGAGGTTAAGTTAGAAGGCGGCTGTTTAAAATTCAGTTTGCTTTCTCTGAAAACAAAGCCAAACCAGTATTATTTAGGTGTCTAGGTAAGTTCACATCAATCAGAAAAATTATTACATTTTTAGATCACAGATATTCCTAGACCCACATTGGGGTTAGGGCTTTACAAACCCATCATAAATTAAGAATATTGTTAGTCATAAATGGATTTAATGCCCTTAAACTGTGGAGCACCATAACTAAGCCTAGCCCACCTTAAATGTGCTCAGAACATTTACACCTACAGTTAGGCAAATCATCTCACACAAAGTCTATTTTTATAATAAAGTGTGGAATATCTCATGTAATTTATTGAATAATGTACTGAAAGTGAAAGGCAGAATAGTTGTTACCTTGTACTTCAGAGCCAGGTCTCGCTGCCCTGAGTTGCGAGAATGTTATACTGCATGTTGCTTGTCTGGGAAAGATCAAATTTCAAAGTTGGTAGTACATTTTCTACTGAATGGCTATCACTGTTGCGTCATAGTAAAATCGAGAAATCACCAGTGGAATTATCATAAATTTGAAACCACCTGTATTATTATTATTAATTTATTCAGATAAAAGAACACAGCCAAATGCACTTTTGAAAACTTTCTCAGGGTAGTTTTGCTGAATATTTGAAGAAACTTAATTATAATAGTACAGAATAGAACAAGAGATACTAATTTGAAAAAGTTGCAAAGAAGGAAGATAATAAAGGGAGGTGGTGAATTTCTGCCAGGCCTCTTTAAGATAGAGGGTTGATTCTAATCCATGGGCTTCTGCCAAGCGGGAGATGGTTGTGTTATTGTTGTGATTTCAAGAATAAAATCTCAGGCATCTGTATTTACAGCGTGTGATGTTTTATCGTTTTTAAGCTGCCAACAATGTGAGTTTTAGAAAAAAATACAGCTGGTTTTAAAAAATAAAAAGTACAGCTGTTAAAATCACATACATAGAAAGTGGTCTTTTTCTTATTGCAGATCCTCTGTATCTGATTATTCATCTTCACTTTCTATTACATTTTTCCATCTCCTGACAAATACTGCTATTCTTTTATTTGATGATTTATGTCAAATTTTATACAAGTCTTTCATTAAATTCCTCTTCATGTTTCTATATTTGTTCTGATAAGTTCATTCTCGTTGTACACCAGTTTTTGAATCCTGATTTCTCTTATTAAGTAGATAGAATGTTATAAGTGTCACAGAACTTTTGAAAAATTGTCTACTGTAGGTTGGGTAAGGTAAAAGAAGCTAGAAGAAATATCTAAAATTAGATATTAATAATGGACTTTTGAAATATAATTAAATTAGATTAGCTGTGATAGTTTTATATGTACAATAGTGTTTTATTTCAAAATGAAAGCATTCTGTTTTCATAAAACTCTGTCCTAGGTATATACATTTATAATAAACTTATAATATAGCTGAATATAAGGTACAGTGATAGCTACAATGACATTAATTGTTAGGCAAATTTTAAAATTTTAATTAACATTTAAAAATAATATTAATAATTAAAAATCAAAATAGATTAAAGATTGCAAAGAGCTCAAAACATTTTTAATGCCTTCTAAGTTATTGTAAGGTATTCTTTTATCTGTCCCATGAAAAGTCATACAATTTTGTGGTACAAGTTTAACGACATAGTTGTTTATATAGCAACAATTTAAACTGGGGTAGTGTAATGATAATGTTCTGGAAATTTGCATTTGCACAGTGAAACAAGTAAATTCAAACTTTTAAAAAGTATAAAATAATTTATAGATCTTAAATTAAATTTTGAAACTACTCATAAATTAAGAGAAGCTATCATTGGTCTAGTTATTGCTAACCAAAAAATATTTTTCCTTAGAATGAAGGGACTTGAAATATCTGTACTCCACATAGATGTGTTTAATGTCATAGCCATTTTATCATGGTATAATATGTGTATTAATTAATATTTTTCAACTATATGTGTTAGTATTTGCTTTAAATCTCATGCTTATTTGAAATTTGAAATAAAGAGATTTGTAGTATATTTTATATTTTTAAAGAAAATATATGTTTATATACATGCATCTGTATATATAGTATATATCTGTATTTTATTGAAATCATTAACAAATTATATTTTTAGTCTATTGAATAAATATACTTAAGATTTAATACATTCATAAAGCTAAATTTGATTGTTCAACAGATATTAGCTCTGGTTTACCCAAGCTTTAAATCTTTGAATGATTAGTTCGAATCTATGTTTTATCCAGTGAAAAGCCCACAACCATCCAGTAAATGCTTAAGAACATCCAATACACATATTCTTCCAGTAAGACCTCTTCCATTTTTCCATGTTTTCCACACATGAATTTCATTTTCAGTTTAACATCTTTCATGGTATTTTTCCATTAACTTTCACATGTACCCAAACTGGACATTCAATAGTTTTTACCTATTTGTCCAGCCCTCTCCCCACAATTAATTGCAACAAAATATCACTAACCATCACCATAATGATTTCCAATAGCAGTATGTATCATTCATAATACACAATAGTAGGAACAACGAATTGTCCATTAAATAGCAAATGGAAAACTAAAGAGTGGCATATCCATACAATGGAATACTTTTAGCAATGTAAAGGAATGAAGCATGATACAACATGGTTGTACCCTGAAAATATTGTATGGTATGAATTCAGTCACACAGGACCACATATTATATAATTTAATTTATGTGAAATGTCCAGACTAGGTAATCCATGGACTCAGAAAGGAGATTAGTGATTGCTTAGTAGTAGTGGTTGTGGGAGAGTTGGGAGAATGGAAAATTTAACCAAAGGGTATAGGTATTTTTTGAGTTAAAAAAAATCTTCTCAAATTTGATTTCAGATAAAAGATTCACAATTATGGACATACTGAAAACTATTGAATTTATATATCTTTTAAATATTTATTTATTTATACAAGAAATAGGGTACAGGCCAGAAGCGCAGGTGGGTGAGAGGATTCACCAGAAACAGAGCGGGCAGACAGACCTCAAACACTGCTGTGGGGAGCAGCAGGTGAGACAGGTCTGCACCGCCATGTGGGTTGCTTCCTGGCCAGCTGGAATTCAACCTGTGCTGCAGAGGCTGCAGACAGCTTCACAGCACTGCGCTCAACCCACTGCGCCACCAGGGAGGCCCCTGAATTTATATTCTAAATGAACAAATTGTGTATGTGAATATGAACTGGTGAAATGATTTTGGAACACCATCTGGACCTTAAAATTCTAAATATGGAAGTATCGATGACCCAGCAGCCTCACTGTGGGGTATATATTCAAAGAACATGAAATCATCTACTCAAAAATTATATACTCTACGATGTTAATTGCATCATTACTTACAATAGCTGGGGCATGAAAACAACCTAAATGCCCACTGATCAACGGCTAAATCAAGATGTGGTACAGCTACATTAAGGGATACTATTTAGCCATAAGAAAAAGATGCAATGTGAGGGATATATGTGCAATAAAGCAAGTCAGAAAGACAGAGGCAAATATTGTATATTTCCATAGTTGGAGGACTCAACAACAAACTGGTGGACACTAAAAAAATGAGTTTTCTGTGGTTGGTGGGAGGGGGAGAAAGACAGAGTCAAAGGGTATTAGGGTAGTGGTGGGAAAAAATAATGAAGAATTAGAAAAAAAATGAATTGTAGAGGATGTGAATTGCATCTGTTTTAAAAAGTTTACCAAGAAATCACATAGTCTTTCTTGATGGCCACCAAGATGGAAGTTTTGTCTAGATAAATGGTCGTTCAAATGTCAGGCATGCACAATTTAAAAATAAAATGTAATTCCTCAGTTCTCACCATGATGTTTTTGGCCAGCCCTCCAGTATAGACACAGACTTTCCTTGGCGATCCAACAACTCATTTATGCCTACTACATGTTTTTGAGCTTCATCCTTTACCCACGTGCAGAAGTATCAGTTCTAAAAATATTGGGGTCTCAACATTTTCTGTTTTGATTATACATTGTTCATAAGAGTGTACTTTTGCTCAGTTTATAATGGATGATACATCCTGTAACTTCCTATTGTTTCTGAGTTATGTGAGTAGAAAACAGAGGTATCTCTTATAACAGAAGCATGTGAAGAAATATTACAGCTAAATGCTATGTAAATTACTCCTTAAAATTTTATTTGATGGAATTAGATGCCTCCATTTTACAGAACTGCATTTTAACATTTTCTGTTCCCTCCCTCCCTCCCTCCCTCCCCCAGCTTTAGATCCAGCTAAAGATCCATGCTTAAAGATGAAATGTAGCCGCCATAAAGTATGCATTGCTCAAGATCCTCAGACTGCTATCTGCATTAGTCACCGAAGGCTTACACACAGGTAAACATCGTTAAATTAAATCCCGCTGATTGAACAGTACTCCTTACCATGAATAACTGCAGAGTCTAAATATTTGGCAATGTCTGCTAAGCTTTTATCCAGTGTTATTGAAACAGTTTCAGAAGCTTGGTTAATACAATTATGAGTCACTTGGGGTAAACATTGTTATCAATCAGAATTTCTATGGAGTATAGAATTTAGGCATAATTTATTAAATAGAGAGGGTTTTGTGAAGTTTAGATTGAAGTGTTATATTTGTAGACATTTTTTCAAGTTTAAGGAACAAATGCAGGTTGGGTGCCTTCTACATGCCTTTGCTTATGCCTGTTTTCCTCCGGGAACCATTGGAAACAAAGTTTAAGAAAGAGCAAAAAGAAAAAGACTGATGTTCACAAAAAAAGATGAAAAGTCACAAAATAGAGCTCTGAGCCTGGAATGCTTCAGGCTCCCTTTAAGCCATCTCTCCCAGCAATGGAGGGAGTCCTTGTGTTCTGTTCCCTGAGGGCTGCCGCAGAATTCCACAAAGAGAAGAGGATATTTGAGTATCTTTTGTAATGATCACTGGTTTTCTAAGGTAGTCTATATTTCAGAAATAGCCCTTATGGTTTGATGCTGGGATTTAAGAGCTGGAAACTACCACAGCTGGAATTGAAGTTATTTGGTGACTGAAACAATCAAATACATCTGTGTCCTGTGCTACTTGCAAAGGAATTCTGTTTGTGTGTGCCTTTTTTGTAATTTGTGTTTTGGTTTTACATCAAATGAACAAGGGAATTATGCCATTTGGGTATGTTCAGAAACTAATTGAATTTTGCCTTTAGTGTATTTACATCTTTATTGTATTATTCAAACATACCGACAGTCAGAGTGTAAGAACATGAGTAGCATTTCTAGAAAACAGCAAGTATTTAATATTCCTTTGATGTTTCCTATTTTTATAAAAGCACCCATGCATTAAGTCCTTTATTTCATGCTGAATGAGTTAAGGAAGTCACTTGGGACAAAAGATTCCAGCTACTCACATTTAACACCTTTGAAAGTGTTGATCTGTGATTTCACTCAGGGCCCCTGAACCCAAGGAACAGAGCAGTGAAAAATCTCCCAGTTTATATCATGCCTGAGGCAGGACTCTTCACCTCTGGCACCTGCTGAACATGAAGCCAATAGAGGTTAATGTAACTGATCATGATCACATAACTAAGAATTTTAGAGCATTGATTCTACCTTATAATTGCCAATGCAGGGTCCATGCTTTTTACAACTGTTTTCTCTCACTACTACTCTAACTTATTTTAAATGCAGACAAAAAAGTACTTCCTTTATACTGTGAAGATCAGAACCTATAGCTAAAATATTTTAATAGAAACAGATAAGCATTCTGAGTAGAGACCATTACCAGCTTTGCCTTTGGTGTGGCGTTTTGCTGGGGTAGGAGGGGAGATGACCAAACTCTAAGTGACTGCAAAGTGGTTCATGTAAATAGTATTCAGTCCTATTCTATTTGTGCCACAGCCTATTTTAAAATTATCCCACACTACACATTATATTCAATAAATAAATAACTAGTTTACAAAGAGTTGATATTAAGATTAATATTTGATATGCTCTATTTGCTCTGAAGTTGTCAATACAAAGTGGATGTTTACACAACACTTAGGGAAGGGGAGTTTGCCAAGCAGTTGGATCAATAAAGATGGCTATTATAAATAATGGAGGTTTTCAATTTGGGGGTCGTGTGTATTTCGATAATGGGGTGCAAAAAACAGAAAAAGGTCTTAGTTTGGGCCATTTCTATAGTTTAGATTAGAAATTTCTTTTTTTTTATTTTAAAGGATCAACATATGTTTTCTTTTCTTGATCTCATTAAAAAGAAAAGAAATGGTGCTTGCTCCTTGATTCTACAGGAGGAATCTTGTTTTTCAAAGAAATCTTCCTAAGTACTCTGCCACACTAAATACCACACTCACTTCACCCTTATTTAGAACCTCAGACCTCTCATCTTACTGTATTCTCCACATTTGTAATACACTGTCTAACAACAATTCTTTTATTGACCAGGGGTTGCATAAAGGTACCCTCTGGAATTTATTCATCACTTTTTATTTAGAACTTACCATACTAGCCAGTATGAATTTTCTTTAAAAAGTATATTTAAATAGCTGCTACTTGTAGCTTATTTAGAGGAGAGATTGGGAAGTAGTTTGATCAATTGAACTTGTCCATCTAGATAATCTCTAAAAGTTGATTTCTGTGTTTTATATTTATTTGTTGAAGGTGGATCAGGAAGGGCATAGGAGTCAATCAACAAATGTTTTAAAACATTTTTAAAATGAATTTGTTGAATGAGTGAACAAATAAATTATTGCCAGAACAAAAAGAGGAGGACATGAAAATGTGAAGGTTAGATGAGTCCAACAACTGGCTTTAAGTAAGTGGTAAATCCTTGTCTTAAATTTGTAAATATTTGAGGGAATTGCTAATTATTTCCTTACCTAATGCTTTAAATAACAATACTTTTCTTCTGAGATCAGACATCAGTGGCCTCAAAAGCGATGTTTTTTACACTGACTTTGGACATGCTTTTGGTGGATGCTGTAAACTATCCAAATATATCATGTTCAAAATTACATATTTGGATTTTTGTCTCCAATGGCATCTTTGTCAGAATTGGCCTCAAAAAATCATGATACTTGTGTTCTTGTGAAGGCTTTCTGATCGTCTTATCCAAATAGATTTAGATATTCTAAACCAAACAGATTGAGAAGGGAAAACTTCAACTGCAACAAGTATTCCAAAATGGAAACATACCAATTATCTCACAGGTTTAATGTAAAATACATGACAGACTCACCAGATTTTATGTATGGCACACTTTTAACATTATTACTCTGCGGGAAAGTTCTGCTGTTGCTTGTATCTGAGGGCTTTATGTTTCATTGTTTTGCTTCATTGTGAGCAAAAAGCAGTGTTTTATGCTCGCTTAGCTGGTTGTGCAGCTGCAGATAATTAACACTATTTCTAGATAGTGTTTTGAGGACCAATCGATGCTGCTGATATTAAAAAAATGGCGTAATAAGATAAAGTTGAAGAAGTTGTCATAGGACAAAACTAGCCCTGTTAATTACTGCTTTATTTGCACCAAAGGATGAAGAAGATCAATAAGGAAATCCTTTTGGTCTCATAAGAAGGCATTATATAAAGGAATGATGAAACTAATTTAAAAGGCTACATATTGAAAACATACCAAAAGAAGGTGAATCCTAAAACTCGTCTATTGAAAATTATGCACTTGGGGAAATTGTAATTTTAATGGCCATATTTAAAAGAAGGTCCAAGGTTTTTAGAATATGATTAAGTGTAAGACAGTGATATTTGTATTTCTGTTGCTCTAATGTTGAGATATTTATGATGGAATAATTCAATTTCAGAGCTAAAGTTATAGTAGCACCCTAGAGATGCTTGTTAAACAGAATTGAACTTATCATAACTGTTTTAAAATAATATTCCTAATATTTATGTAAAATTTAGCCTTTATGGAATATGAATGCACTGATAATATCCTTAGGGAGAATGAAATACAGTATTTATTCGACACTTAACATGTGCAGAACTCTTCACTAAGTACCTTAAATTGACTTAGCTTTTACAATCCTACTGCCATATACTAAAGATTATTATACCCATTTTTTAAAAACTGAAATTCAGGGATTTTGAGTATTCTGCCAGAGAGGACTTATATATAAAGATGATACATAGATAATTGGATAGGTAGATAGATAGATGGATAGAGAGAAGAGATTTAGTGTTTGTGATTATTTTTATGTTTTATATACATATATCTTTTTAATTACAAGTGAATTTTAATGATGTTTATGAATTGATATAACTTAGAAAATAGAAGATTTACACTCTAAAATTGACTTAGTTTTTTAGAGTTTAAGTTTCACAGGAAATTGAGCAAAAGTCAAAGAAGTTTCTATATACTCATTGTCCCTGTTATCAATAGCCTACCCCAGGGTAATACATTTGTTTAAATTAGTAAACATACCTTGATATCAATCTCATCCAATGTCCATAGTTTTCATTACTTTTTAGCATTAATTGTATTTCAAAACAAGTTATATTCATATCACATTGTTTTATTCTTTTTAAAACACATATAATAGTTAAACTTATGTCTGAAAATTTTATAGTGCTACAAACACATAGACACACATAGCCGTGTACATATGTATGGATAACTAATTTAGCCTTACCAAAATCATGTATGGTAAAGTGGGTTAAAGTTACTACTCTCATTTTACCAATAATAGAAATTGAGACATAGAATTCACATAATTTGCTCTGGTGCTATACTTGGACATTGAACCAGGCCATTTAGGTTCCCGAATTTGTTCTCTTATTTGTTCTACTGCCTTTGAAACATACTATTTAATGCTTATAAAGCATCTTATATAAATAAGGCTTTCTTCTGAGCATTTTAGATATGTTAATTCATTTTATCATACAACAATCCTGTTTTTATCCTTTATAAAATACTCTGGAAAATGATTGCCTAATGTAGTGTCTCAGCACATTTTAACACAGGCTCTTCTTGCTGAGCACACAATTCTTAGGTGCTACCTTATTTTGATATCTATCACTCTCAAGATGGTGTAATCCCTAACCACTTAAGAATCAGTTATAAGAAGAGAACTGAATTCTTTAGATTATAAATCTAGATCGGCCAATATAATTTGATCGAATTTTACTTTAGTTATTCAGCATTACAAAAACAGAAGGGAGGTGTCTCAAATATAAAAATACAACAACATTGACTATACTTATTAAGTACATTGCACATTTTATCTTTATTGAGATATTATTCCCATTCCAGTTGCAAATCGGGACCTGTGGATGAAAGTCCAACATCCTTAGTATAGTCCTTTCCAAATTGATATAGGTAGCTTCACAGTGTCATTGCTGGTCTTCCCCCCAGAACACTGCAGGCTAATTGCAAT